TAGGGTAAAGGACCGTGAGTTGTTTGTAGAATGATACACTTTAAAACATTTAATTGACTCTAAGATTGCACCATATAACCCCCAAAAATATCTCATTTTCAAGTATTATCTATGGACTAACACCCAAGTATTGTTACATAGTGTTTTAAAGTGTATTGATGTTTTTTAGATGAAAAACACAAGTGAAATGCATGAACAAGCTCCCTAGATTCATTCTACAAACAACTCGCGGTCCTTTAAATACCCACGAAATAAATGTGCTTTTTCGGCAATATGTATTGTATTCGAATATTTCGTTAACTTCACTTCCTTTCAATTATTAAATAAATAAAGTCGATGTACTATTGATTTTCCTAAGGGCAAGGAAGATTGCCTCCCAGAGTGCAATATCCATCCATATTCTGTCTCATATATGGGAATGTGCTTCAAAATTCGAATTCCAACAGCCGCCATTTGTTCACTTCAACATTTGGATCGTGAATTTTGGTCTTATTTCCTATCGAAACATTCCAAAAATGAAATTCTTGGAGTCAACCCTCCTTGCACCAACTAGTTGCACGTCGACGTTGTGCAAACTGCTACAAATGAAAGGAGCAATATGCGGTCAGCGTCACTGATCCATACGCTAAGCGGCTGACAGACTGAGGATGCACAATTTACAAATTATGGCTATTAGGTGAGTGGCTCCTCGGAACATAATGCTGAAATTACCAGTACAATGTTTTTTAAAACCAATCTGTCGAGATAGTGTTTTCGAAAATTTATATCTGCATAGCCTGATAGCGGTTTTATTGGATGATTTTTAATAGCGTGTTGACTTAGGGGCGTCGGCAGAATTGTTGAATTGAAGCCGGGCATAGAAGGCATTCACAGCTCATCCGAGACTAAACAGGGGTCATTATGCTATGAATGAATATGTATACGTGAGCTGATCATTTTCGAATAAAACATGCCTTCGAAATAATTCGCTTAATTCGGATATTTATTCATCGTCGTGATATCCGGTGTCCGGTCTTGATATAAAATCGATTTAAATACAGAGCGAGCAATGATTGCACATTTATACAATGAATTCCCTCATTCGACAAATCGAGAAATATAGACGGCCGCCGATCTCACAACGTAAAATTAAAAGCCGGGTATTTTGACTTTCATTGTTCAAAGTTGGAAAAGAATTCTTACTGATGTCCAACCATGCTTCAATTAATGCGCTAAAACGAGTCACATTTACGCATTTGGCGTGAAGAACGGTAACACGTAACCTGGTTTTATTGGCTGCATTCCATCGGATCATATGTAATAAGTCCATCAATGTGATGTGCTTGTGATACTCTTTTATGTTGTATTAGATTCATACTGAATCATTAATGCATATTGACCGAGATATGGCCATGAACAAATACATACGCGTATCAAATCTAATCTTGGTTTAAAAATCGAGAAATACGACGTCGTCATTGGTTTGCGGTAAAAACCATGATTTTTCACTCGTCGTTACAGAAAGTTGGCAGAAATTTGTCTTCAGAAGTTTCAGAAGAAAACAATCGTACCATTGGAGAGAGCTCATTGTGGGCTAAATGTAGACTGAAAAACATTTTTTAACTCGACGAGATTTAATAGCCCAATTAACGCGCGAATGTGATACACATTTGTGCATTTTCAGTGAATTTCTGTGAAAAAATGTTTTACACGTTTGTACCCGTAGCTGGGTGGTATTTAATCGGGTCGAAATAACTTATCCATATGCGCATTGCCCTTGTTATTATTATTAGATTTATTTTCCCTCCATTGATTGGAGATAATATAATAATTATATATTACAGTATTATTGGATGCGTATCAAAATTTAAACAAATTTAAAGACAAAATAGAACTCTAATAAACACCAATAACATTATAAGTAAGATCTGAGAGTTGATAAGAGTAGGTATAATACACACATATGAACATAAGCTATGAAATAATAAGCTTTCATTAACTGTAAAAATGATCATTCAATGACGAATATTGACCGAGATATGACCGTGAACAAATATCATACGCGTATCAAATCTAATCTTGGTATAAAAATCGAGAAATACGACGTCATTGGTTTGCGGGAAAAACCATGATTTTTCACTCGTCGTTACAGAAAGTTGGCAGAAATTTGTCTTCAGGGGTTTCAGAAAAAAACAATTATACCATTGGAAAGAGCTCGATGTGGGCTAAATGATGAGTGAAAAACATTTTTTAACCCGACTTGTTTTAATAGCCTATTTAACCCTCGAACATGATACACATTTCTGCATTTTTAATGAAAAATATGTCAAAACTTTAGCACCCGTAACTGGTTGGTATTTTATCTGACCAAAATAACAAATTCGCATACGTAATGCCCTGGTTATAAGCTTTCATTAATTATCAAATTTATAATATAATGATAAATATTGACTGAGATATGATCGATTAGAAATGCATGTATACACCATGACGTTCAAAAGCGTGAAATTTAAATGGACTGATCACCGTAGATTACTACGCGATTTTGCCGAAAGAACAATGGAAATGACGTCTTGGATCTCCTGCTGATATTATTGACCGCTTATGTTACTGTACTACACTTGTGAATTATGGGAACTATGACGTCATAATGTTTACAGAAACAACATGGTAGACGGACATTTCGTAAACGTTGATGAAAGTGATATTTTGACTTTGCTAGACGACAAGTATAGCAAAAATACAAAGAGAAACGAAAAATTAACATTAATTTACAAGTGAGTATGCAGTTATGTGCCAAAAACAAAGAGTTTAGCTACCACTGTCATAAGATTTTCTTAAAAAATTTATTGCTGGCGTGGTTCGGAGAAAAGATTGTGAAATGAAGCCATGATTGATGACTGTCGTCTATATGTGTATTATTAGTATCTTCTGACTAACAAAACAATTGTTGACCTCTCCATTCGGTCAACCGTCAAAACCATATACCTCGACTGTAAACCTTGAAACTACTGTTGACCTCGACCTTCGGTCTCTGTCAACAGTAGTTTCTCGGTTTACAGTCTCGGTATACAATTTTGCCGGTTGACCTCTGGAGAGGTCAACAATTGTATACTGTATATGCAATGTATGGACTTTTTCAAGTATGCATACCAGTCAATTTAAAAAAAGGTTTTAAATGCAATCATTCCCTTATATCAAAGCAGCAATTCACTTCGTAGACCCGAACATTCAAATTCACAAAACATACTGTATTATGTATTTGCGTCACTCATACATGTACTATGAACGAAAGACTATAATATTAATAAATTAAGAGATGCCCCTTAAATATCTTTTTATGTTAGAATTTTACTCTAGTTTTGAAATATGTAATTGGATTTTGATAATACCGAACATTAAATACTGTACGCCCAGTATTTTTCGCGTGCGATTTAGTTTCGCGCTTTTCGCGACTGTATTAAAATCGCGAAAATTAATCGTCGTGAATTTCGCAAATTAAAGGCTGAGGTGCAACATGCCGTTTACTAAGATCTAGAAATTTTAAATCTCATCCAAATATGACATTGGGTAGGTGTAATTACTGTAGATAAGGTAAATTAATGTGTACAGAGCTTGAGGATTCAGAGAATAATGGAATTGAAACCTTTGAAATCCGCGAAATTTAATGGCTGCGAAATTGGTATTTCTCGAAATTCTCGAAATTAAAACTCGCGAATAATACCGGGCGTAGGCTACAGTAAATAATTTAAGGAAAAGTGACCCTTGAACAATTCTCTTCGGGCTACTATGTACTTTGGAATTGATAAATTATGATTTATACAAGGGGCGATCAATATACTAGTATTCTGATAAAAATGCTCTCATTTTGTGATTTTTTCACATATCCATCTCATTTTCAGAAAATGTATATAGTGTAATTACATCGGTCGATCTACAGGCCTCTAGATTTATACTAAATCCCTGTATGACCAAGTATGACTGTTCCACATGGCGTGAATGCAACATTTGAAAACGAAATACTTTGATAGACAGGACTTCCAGGATGGCGATGGTCCCTCAAAGGCTGTGTTTAATCAATTAAAACATATGGAAAGTCCCCTCTTCACTATATTAACAATTTCCCATTGGGAAAACGCGTGCTATCCATCGTTTTCAGCATAATTTTGGTCTTCCAAAATTGATATCTCCAAAACTAGACTTTCAATACCATTCTATTTTTGAACATTTCATAGACCCCTTGTTGAATAATGTTTTCATGCAATAAAAACAGAGAAGGGAGATCCTCTTTTGAGCAAATAGGTTCAATATTTTGAAAAAAATGTTGACATGGGGTCCCTATTCATAATTTCTCTAATTGTTTGATTGATATTTTTATCACCATGGGCACTTCACTTGAAAGAAAACATATTGTTTTAATAAAAACACTGTATTTATGCCCAGAAAGTACTCATGGTGAAAGATATGACCGTCTTGCCATCCTCCACGTGGTCTTTTCATCAAAGTGCACCCTGACCTTGATTCATTTTTAGATCTTTCATATAAACAAATACTATGTCTACCGGGTGAAACGTCTAGGGGGTGAACCGCCTAGGGGGTGAAATGTCCAGGGGGTGAAACGTCTTGATACCCTTCAGTTACATCTATATTTCATCATTTTCAACCTTGGCAAGTCATACAACCCATATGTTTTTTATTAATTCAATATTTATTATATTTCAAGTATACTTACACGCAAGTCAATATACACATATGATGTGTGGATATCCATTGTACATACATAAAGTTATATATATACATTGTATATTTCAAAGTGTTCATTTTCTGAAGTGCCATCCATTTGCAGAGAGATGTATTAGGTGTTTTACACATGAAATATACGCCGTTAAAATTATGATAATACTAAAACAAATTTGATTTTGTAATAATGTGTTTTATTTGCAAACATGGTATAGCTTAAAATTATTAGTGACGTTGTGATTCGCGTCAAACTCATTTGCAGGCTCAGATAGTATGCTGCATCATGGCAACGCGAAGGCATACACGTGGTCACTTCTTGAGTGGTTGGCGGACCGTCCCAAAAACGAGTTACCACCTACAGTAAGAACAACATATTGCCTCCCACTAGTTCTGTAGGATATTGGATTCCCCGCTGCCGCAGCAATCATTGGATCTGGAGATCTGTAGAGCTGTTCCCCAGTTTCAATGTTAAACGCCCGAAGATATCTATCCTCTGTATTTCCAGCTATTACTAAACCTCCTCTAGTAACCAGTATGCCGCCAGTATACCACCTTGAAAAACAGTTAGCCCAAAATAAGTATCATAAAATAAAAACTACAAAACTTTAGTTACAGAATAATGTAGGCTTGCACAATAGGCAATATTGTTACAACTATGATACTGTACATTGTAATCCAAATATAAAAAGGCCCAATGACCTATCTTAAAGGCGCCATGTAGAGTTTGATGATATGTTTTTATTAATCATTTACAATTTTTTCCATCACTTTAAAAGTTACTTGAGATTTTTTTGAAAAACAAATTTGGCCTTTTCCTTTTCTCATAAAAGTTGAAGTATTATAAATAATCCGTAATAATTGTGATTGTTTAGTTTGGTAGAAAAGAAGAATGTATTATGTTTTAGATATTATTGTACCATCGGTTTCTCTGAGAACTAAAATTTTAAAATGCATATTTCTCTGAACCACTTTCAAACGTGAGGATGAATGCTATGTACTGGTGTATATTATCGCTTAATAAAGGATATACATGTATATGCGTGAGCTCTAACATATAGTTTTAAATAAATTCACTATTTTATGAACAAAAAGTCTTTCAAAAACTTAGAAATTAAAAACAAAAGTTTCACATATCAAATTTGTACAACATAAGCTAAAGTGGTCTAAACTCAATATGGGGCCTTTGAGTCTAGTTTAAATTTACTTGATTTTTCGTATTAAATAATTATTCTACTCATACGTTACAGTAAAAACAGACTTGGCGCAAAATTGGCGCAAGAATAGACAAACTTTTAAATCCACTAAAAGCGCTCTGTCAGAAAATAAAAGGAAAACATCTCGAAACAATCTTTAAATCTTTTATGTTGCCAATTTTTGTTGCAAACACAACAAAATTACCAAAATTACAGTTATTAGATCGACTTTACTATAAAACCACTTGTATTTGTTCAGGCACTCTTCATGGGACCTTAACAATTAAAGTGTTGAATAATTTAAATTGGCCAACATTAACAAAGAGGCGTCAATATCACAGAAGTACTTTCATGTATAGGGCACATAATAATATGCTACCCTCTTATGTTCTTAACATTTTTGAGCCTCTCAAAATAAATCATGCTTATGGTCTAAGAAATCAACTGAGCTACACAATTCCAAATAAATCCTCCTTTTTTAATAGATCTTGCATATCAAAAACACTTACTGAATGGAATAAGCTTTCACATGAAATAAGAAATTCACCTACCCTTAGTATATTCAAATCCAGGCTTAAAATAGATCTATTCAATGACGATGTTATAAATTCATCAGAACTCTCCATTTCAAAAATGAAGACATAAGATGTAAACTTAAATATCCTCAAATGTAGTGCCATCTTTTTTGAACGATGTAAAAATGTCTAGGTCACCCCCACCACTGTTACCCTCCACAAATACAACCCTTTTTCTTAATGTCTGATTGAATACAGTTAATTGAGTTTCATCATATAACGTGGCTGATAATGCTGATAATGCTGATGCCCAGCCACGAGCACATGTGCATTTGTTTATGTATTCTTTGTATAAATATATAAATAAACTAGATTGGAGAAATTGAACAAGTTCAATTCAAGACTCCAGATTCCATTTTTTTTATTTATAAAATGATTTTGACATCATTTGATATAGATGAGAAAGTGAAACTTAAAGAAAATATTTATGTTCGTCACAACTTTAAAAGCAAAATTTGATCAATAGTAAGGTAATCTCAAAATTAACAAAATTGACCTAGATTTTGACCTTGACCCTTAGCACTCAAAATTTTACTGAATTTTTGATGATTGGCTATTGATTACCATTAACTTAACATCAGGATGCTACATTGGTGGCAGCGGTAGGGATTTTTTGAGATTTCAAAAGGCCATAGCTCCTGAACCGGATGTCTGATTTCAATTTTGTTTACAGATTCGGAATCCTGAGAAGATTTCCTATTACAGTTAGATTTCGATCTCTGATATTAATGAGAAATGAGAAAATAAACGGTCAGGTAGACATGCCATCAGGGTACCATCATATCATTTTTTTGAAATTTCAAAATGTGTTAACTCCTGAACCGGAAGTCGGATTACAATTTCGTTTTCAGATTGGGAATCCTGAGAAGATTTCATGTTAAATTGAGACTATTTTAAATAGTTTTGGAACAATTCAAATTTCACCTTTTTTTGGAGTCAAATTTCTCAAAATTGGTAAAATTTTAATGGAGACATAGAGTGAGCGAAATGTTTTAAATACTTAGAGGGAGCTATAACTTAATTCATCGCAGGAAATATTGATAGATTAAAAAGAAAATTGAAAATTTGTGAAATTGAAAAAAATTGACCTTAATTTTGACCTTTGACCTAGATAAAAATTTGATCTAATTTCCCAGAAACTAGGTCAAATAGCCTAACTGACTATGTAATTAGATTTATTCCAAGTCCTCTAGTTACTGAGAAAACGTGCTAATAAGAATAAGAATACAGGCAAAAGCAATAGACTCCAGATTTTCAATCTGGAGTCTAATAAAAAAGAAGTAAAAACCAATTTAGGTTGAGATAAATTCTGAGATACTCCTGAGACATTAAGTTTATTCAGTATCCAACATCGCACCTTGTTACAGGTCATACGTTTCACATCTATATGCAATCAATAGAGAGGTTAAGCTACACGTATTTAACAAAACTTGAACATGAACTTAATTGCGCGTGCAGATAAATGACGTCAGATTTGGTTATTTCCTGTGGGCAAGCGTGAAGTTTACAGGTTTTTACATGAGATTATCATATTCGTGCAATTTACAGACGCGTATTCAACAAAGCATGAACGTGTACTTTTTTTCGCGCGCAGGAAAATGACGTCAGATTAGTCTACTTTTTACAGGTAAGCGTGAAAGTTACTTGTAGATGAGTGATTACACGTCGCTCATTGCGTGATTGATTTTAGCTATGTTCTAGGATGGCCCTGGAGCCCATATTTGATACAGACAATCTTGCTTGTTATATTGGTAAACCCCAAATCCTTAATTGGAAATAAGAATACATTTTAATTGGTAAATGGACAACTTTAAATGTGACCGTTTGTAAGTTCCGCACAATATAAATAGGCAAGACCAATTTGATGCCCGGAGCTTAGTACACTATGTATACTAAACGAAATGAAATGACAACCAGGGCAAGAACGGATCTAGTGCGCCCTCCATTATGATCTCCCCATGAACAAAAATGAATTCATCTGATTTTTCAAAGTAAATATACGGCTTTTATTAATATTATTACATTTATATGTACACTAGAATCTTGTTGACCTATATTACAGGACATACGTTTCAGATCTATCATACAAATAAGCCTATGGAAGTAACTTGAACAATATCCCACTACTAATTACCTTGATCCCTCTTCTTCTGTTGATTCTGGGATATTAGGATTGGTGCCATGGGGGATGCTCCACAGTTTACGCCCATTTTGCAAGTCCACAGCGTGTAACATGGCCCATGGTGGTTTATCGCACTTTTCTTTGAATAGTGTAAAACCATAGCACTGAAGTGGCACATCGGCGTTAGGGGTTTTAAACAAAAGTTTACACCATTGGGGCAATGGGGATGATGTGTTTCTTGGAATCAATTGTTTTACTAAAACAGAAATAGAGTATCATATAGTGGGGTATTGAAAACCCACCAGAGACTGTTTTACTGTTTTGGGACAGTTAGTAGATAGTATAGAACGTTTTTAGACCTTGTTTAGTGTAAGTATGGGTTATCACAGTGGTTACAGATAAGTACGTGAATAAGGTAATTACTCCAGAGATCATTTTGCGTCGCTGCAACAGCAATACTTCTAGTGGGGTCCAAGGCCACGCTGCCTCCGATGTTCATCCCACCTGTCAGTCCTGGTATCCACCATATAGGCTTACTTACGAGTGCCGGTGTGAATATCTGGAAGGAAACGTTTTTGGAACGTTTTAGAAACTGTTTTATGCGATAATATCACTAAATTTGTGGCTTTATCATTTTAATAACTTTGTATTGAAGCAGAAGCATGATTAAATTTCACATGAACTGGGTTATTTTTACAAACTAAGCAGAAATTAAGTTGAAAATAAATCGTGTTATATCATTTTAGAATAACAGAATTGGTCAAATCATCCCATAATATTTTTTATTTTATTTATATATATATTTTTATATATTACATTAAAACATAATAACATTTTTACATAATCATGGTCGTGACACCTACATAGGTATTTAATTGACCACATTTAAAATCATTAATCTAAAATGTTCAAGTGCTTGAAAGTTTAACACAACATGACACTGGGTGAACCATAGTTTGTCTCATGAATTAAAAACATTGGTAAAAAACAATGTACAATAAAGAGGATGGAACCACCTTACGTTTGCTGAACATCGAAATCAGTATTTTGAAAATGTGTCATCTTTTTAATTTATAAATATTATTGGTAAGTTTAATAGTACAAGTATTAGGCATTTTGTTCCAGATAATTTCACCTTGTACTTTAAAACTGTATCTTAAATAATTGGTTTTGAACTTTGTAACATGAACTTGTTCATTCTGTCTATTGATGAACACTATTGTTTTTTTTCAAAGAAGTCTATAAAAATGTTACTTGGAAATAATCGGGTCTGTTAATACATTTGTAGGTTAGTTGTAGAATATTAAGGTCATATATGTCCGTAAATTTTAGAATTTTAAATTGTTTAAAGAATGGCCTAGTATGTTCTCTATTTCCACTGTAAGTAATAATTCTTAAAAACGTTTTTGTAGTTAAAATATTGAATTCGTTGCAGTTTTGCCTGCATTTCCCCAAGCACATATACATTATTAAATTTGAGAATATATAAGTGAATAAAAAATTGATAGAAGTGTTTTTGTATTTAATTTATGTCTATTTTTAAATAGTATCCCGATAATTTTTGATACTTTAAGCGATATTTTTTTATATGTTCCTTTTAGTTTAAATCCTCATCAATAATTTTCCCTAAGGAGTTGATTGATTGTACTCTCTCTACTAAATTATTTCTTTTTTTGTTCTCAATATTTTGTGAAACTTTATGTTTGCAGGTTGTATATATCATAAATTTCGTCTTCTGTACGTTAAGAGATAGCTTATTACCACAAAACCGATCATCAATTTTATAGAGTTCACAATTTAATTTAGTAATCAGATTATTTATGTTTTTTATCAGAATAGAAGATGTTTGTATCATCTGCAAAACCTACATATTTTACCAAAGAACTTGAACATATAATGTCATTGATATATATTATAAACAAAATAGGACCTAAGGTAGTGCCTTGTGGAACTCCACATGTGATTGATTGTTCCTGAGATTTAATATTATTATCTCCATGTACAGTAAATTGTTTTTGATTATTTAGATAACTTCTTAACCAATCATTAGCTTTTCCTCTAATACCATAAAAATTGAGTAAATAATAAAATGTCATGATTAACAGTATCAAATGCTTTACTGAGGTCCAAGAATATGCCAATAGAGAACTGTTTATCATTTAATGCTTTGCGTAAATTTTCTAAAAAAGAAAGTATAGCCAAGTAAGTGGATCTATTTTTTCTACAGCCAAATTGATTACGACACAAAAGTTTGAAGTTTTCAAAAAAATCTGTAAGTCTACGAGCCATTACTTTTCCAATTATTTTTGAAAAACAGATACTAAAGAAATAGGTCTATAGTTGCTGAAGAATTGTTTTGTACCTTTTTTATATAATGAAATTACCTTGGCAAGTTTCAAATCATCTGGAAATTAAGATGCCAGTTTTGAAAGATAGTTGAGTTAGGAATACAAGCGGTTTTGCAAGGATGGCACTACTTTTTTGATAACTATAGGCTTTATATCATCATTACCATCAGATTTATCTTTCAAATTATCTAAAATTGATTTTATTTCGTCAAAAGTTACATGTCGTAGATATAAACTTTGGCTTAAAGAATTAGACATTTTCTTCAAAAAAAGTTGAAATATTTTATGAGAATTATGTATGTGTTTTGCCAAATTATTTCCAACATTGACAAAATAATCATTAAAACCATTAGCTATTTCTTTAAGATTAGTAAATGTTTTATTATTGTGTATTAATTTATCAGGTGATATCTGCAATTTCTTTCCTCTGTTTAATATTTCATTAATGTGTGTCCAGGTGTCTTTTATATTACCAGATGATTGTTCGACGTCCAGGGCTTTGTATGATCTTCATGAGACAATGGTATATGTTTAATTGCTAATTCAAATCGGATGCGGTAAAAAACCGAACGCCAATTTACGTACGTTCCGGGTATTACGTTCGCCCTTGTATTAAACATAAATTTAAACAATGAAGAGAATGCATACCTCTCCAAACGGATCAAGTCCTGAACTGTTTATGAAGTCTGCGCAAACTTGTTCCTGGACATTGGTTCTTCCCCATAGATCCTTTCCAGGCCTTAAGTCAACGGAGATCTTTGCTAACTTCAGAAAATCATCAACAGGGAAAGGTTGTGTTGGACTCGGGATTTCACCTGGCAGCTAGAGTATGTTTATTAAGAACATTTTGTAAATCGAGAAATGTTATGTAAATGCATGCCCATGGTAAATGTAAATGTAGCTTTTTGGCATTTTCGCTACCTAAGATCAAAGTGTAGTATATGTGCTTAATATCTAGTATAGGCGGTGAAGAACATAGTTCGATTCTTGAAAAAGGTCCGGGGTAAAGTTTAAACCACTTTTAGCTAAAGCCACATACAGACATTTTACCTATATTATAAAACCCCAAAAAGTAATAAAATTGACACTATGTATTAAATAAAAATGAGATAAAGAAAATATATTTTTGCTCAGGCTACTAAATAAAGAAAAAAAGAAAAGGATTTGCCATGGCCGGGATTCGAACCTGGGAAAGTGTATTAACAGAAAATTAAGAATTAATGATGTTAATTAACTTTTTATTTTGATAATCTATTTGATGAGTATTTCTTGAAATCCCTCATTTAAGCCTCTTAAGTCTTTGAAAGTCACTATCATTATTATTTTAGAATTCATGGGACATTAAGAAGACAAAATTACATGTTTTAAGTATTGTTTCGGTCATGTGATCACATCGTTACACCACAACATCACAAAATAGCAAAAATGTGATATTCCTGGCTCTATTATATCAGAAATATCACAGACTATTAAGGTGCACAATAATTATGAAATAAAAAACATACATCAGTAAAGGTTGGGACATTCTGTTCCTGTATATCAAATACAGGCTCACCGTTTGTGGCGTCTAACACATATAAGAATCCCATTTTTGTGCCCTGAAATTATAGTTATACGAATGAATATTAATTGTTTAAATCAAACCAAAGCAAAATATGAGAATATATTACTTGTATGTACCATAGCATATCCATCCGTATAGCTCAGAGGATTCAATACCCGACTCTGGCAATACTTAATTTGCTTGTTTACGTGAAGTAATTCAGGGTGTTTGATTGAGTGGTTCACAACTCGTACTGTGGTGTATACATGTATGACTATGTTTGAGTGTACATAAAACAACACAGGGCTTCTCCAAGGAAAGTTTGCCTGTCATTATTACATGCCTTAATTGCGACCGTATATATAAGGGATTTATCCAAGAGGTATTGCTCACCTCCATTGGTGGTAAACAAAAAATACAATTCAGTTAATCTAGGGTTCCCAGGAAATTAATTTAAGCCCATCATCGTTCTGAATGAACTTTAAACAAAAAAGGCGTTGATATACATGTTCTTAATTGATTTTTTTGTCTTTTAGATTAATCAAAATGTTGACAAGTATTAAATGGTTTTTTTTTATATATTTTACTACTTTATTTATTATACCATCTATGCTTTCATAATATATTATGCCATTAATCAATGAGTGTTTGCTATATACATAGATACGCCCTTATTTTGCCCTCATTATAAATTATTATGCCCTCATTATAAATTATTTCTAGTATCGACCATTTGACAAATGTACAGCAAATGATGCAGTAAGTAAAATCATTGAAATGCACCATCTTTCTTTGCAGATCATAATTCAACTCAGACGTTCAGATCGATTTGGATTTAAATCAAAGTGATATATTGAAGAGTTGATAACGAGAAAATAAACACAATACAAACAATAGTCAGTTAAATATTGATGTTTTATAAGCATAGTATAATCATATGATGCGTTAATTATTGTTACAGTTAATATAACGTGCTTATACTTGAGTGAGTCGAGTGAATGATATTTGTCCGTTAGTCAATTGGCGGTATTCAAAATGGCCTGACATTATTCGAAAATGTTATGTACGTGTTGAAAAATTAAGTAATGTACGTGTTGAAAAAAACATTTAGATTGGAAGTTTAAAAAAATGGATTTAGAATTTTACTTGCTTATACATATGACATGTAAATATATCGTACATGTATAACAGTTCATATAATCTAATTTAATTCATATACAGTACTATTTTGACATATGATAGCAATCATTTTAATTTATCGTTATCGTAGTTATCAATTCTTATAATTTCAAATGTAATTTTGAATAACACTATGCTTATGTCAGATCACATTCCTCAAATGATATTAATGCTCACCTGTAGAACAACCTTTCGTTCTTTGCCATTTCGTGAAATGCTTCCAACAACAGGTTGGACATTCAAACCCTTTATTGGAAAACAAGGCATTATAAGTAAGGTTCACTGGCGGATCCAGAACAACAAGGGGGGGGGGTCATTTTAAGTCAGACAAAACATTTAGGCCCCTTAAAGTGAAACTATCATTTGTTTATAAATTATAGTTTTATTTGGAGAAATGAAGCTTACTTTGATAATTATATAATAGTAATATCAAGTGAAAGTAATTTAAATTGTGAAGGGGCAATTTATCCCAGCTTGACCAGTCATGCTAATATAAAGCAAATGACATATCTGGGTCAGATATGTCATTTGCTTTATATTAGCATGCCTGTTTCTCAAGACACGAGCAGCCAGCAAGAAGCCAGAGCAGAAGCAATGCGCTTATAAATCAAATTAGCAGTTTTTAGCAGTTTTTAGCCATAGTTATTTGGCTTACTTTCTAAATTTCAATATGGAGAAAATTTATCAGAGAATGGAACCTATGTGAAGACACAGTGAATTTACTAAATGACAATGGATTTGATTCATCATTGGCTCTAAAATGTATGATAGTCCCAAATAACATTGTCAAATTTCTCAAAATGAGACCACCAGGACAATTCCGAATGCTTGAACAAAGGCTCTTAGCCTTGAAGCGGGAGGGGAAATCCAATTTAGACCAGGTAGACCAGTACCGGGTACCCCCGGAGATCCAGCAGCCCTTGACGGACCCAACAGCCCAGGGAGAACGCTCCCTTCAATTCAGCTGTGTTAGACCAGCTTGGAATAAATACAAGGGCGGGAGATGAAGCGGTATCCAAAGTACAAGGTGAGAAATACTTAAAGGAATGGGCCCAAGGAATGGACTTTATTAGTCCATCTTTACGGGCCCAGTCTAGTGTTGATAGGGTCATGGCAACCGAGGGAGACACTAGTCTGGTTATGAGGTCCAGCTAGAAACCGCGTCTGGAATCTTTGACAATCGAGCAGTGGGCCCAGGCAAGCAATAGGATCTTGTCCCTTACGATGTCATATGATGTACAGTGGATGTGGCTTTAAAGCTGGAATATCAAATAAAAATATTTGAACTTGTCGAATGGTTTACATGGCAAAGTGTTATTATGTATGATGATGAGTAAATGTGCAGACAAGCCTTGGTGTACGGATATACCACATATATGTAGCACCTTCTTGAAAGAGCGCCAGGTAGTAATCAAGCCAGTGTCAAGAGAAAAATCCCAACTATCCCCAAGTGGAAATATTATATGTCGCAACTTTAACAAAGGGGTCTGTAGGTATGATAATTGCAGATTTGAACTTATATGCCAGCAGTGCTTCTCAGACACAGCACCCCCTGAAAGATCACAATTGAAAAAACTAGAATAGCCCCTTCACGGTCCAGTTTCCTCCCCATTGAATTTCAATGTATCGGAACAGGAGTTACAATGTGATATTGATAAAGAATTCTTGATGGAATATACAATGGATTTAAGATAATTGATAAACATGAGTGTCCAGTGCCTGCTGGAATGGACAATTATAAGTCAGAAACTGATAAAACAATTAAGGATAAAGTAAAAAAACAAATCTTGAAGGAAATTAATGAACATAGAAACGTCAGGGTATCACAAAAGCCGACCATTGTGAGCGCCCTGAATGCAATAAAAAAGCCAGACTCGGATTTCATTAGACTTATTCATGACTGTAGTCAACCATAAAGGCACAGCTGTAAATGAGAATGCAACAGCTAATCAATACAAATATACAACAATCAATGATGCAACACAAAGCCTACGTCCTGGATACTGGATGTACAAGGTCGACTTGAGTGAGGCATATCGATATGTTCGGATCCATCGTTCTGATTACCAATAATCTGGGATTAAATTGAAATTTGGCTCCAATAAACATTATTGACTATTATTGACTCCAGATTAATGTTTGGTGCCCGAAAGTTTCAATAAAAAGGGTGATGCAATATAAAAACAACTGCAAGGACATATTTGTGTATTTAGATGATTTTTTATTATATCAGAGTCGAGGGATGAATGTATGACTCAACTCAGTGTGCTCCTTGGATTATTAAGGAAACTTGGACTTGGTATCAGTTGGTCTGAAGTAAATGTACCATCTCAAAGATAACATTTCTCGGGGTAGAATTAAATTCTATAAAAATGCAAATCTCACTTCCAGAACAAAAACTTGTATCCTTGTTATCCTACTCTGTTAGTTACTCTGAACATTAAAGCGTGCATCTCGCAAACAGCTAGAATCCCCGGCAGGGAAGCTAAATTGGGCATCTCAAGTCATCTCAGACGAGTACTTGATGCCATATGTCAGCTAAAACGAAGCAATCGTAAATACAAGCGAAATTTGGAAAGATATACATTGGTGGCTGGACTGCATAGCCACATTCAATGGGAAGGCTATAATTCTAGACAATAAACCTATTGTTGACATTGAGGTGGATAAATCGACAGTAGCATCTGGTGGATATTTCCAAGGAGACTGGATGCATATCAACTATGCTTGTGACACACCCAGTTTCAAAGATTATCACTTCAACTACAAGGAAATGATATCTGTCTATTTCGCAGCTCAGATACGGGGTTATTTATGGAAAAATCAGCGAATCAGCGAATCCTCATACACACTAATTCTACAATCCCTTCATCGTGGAGACTTTGAGACATCGGTTTTGGCTCTCTGTGGAATTTAATTTTGATATTTCGGCCAACTATGTAAGGAGTAAACTAAATATTTTGCCAGATCTTATTTCCAGACTGCATGAACAAAATGCCTTGCTATCATTAGAGGCAATATTTACTCTGGAAATTTTCCATACTCTGGAATGAATGTCAACTGTCTCTTTTGCCACATGACTTTGAACCCAATTATTTTTCTTCTTCCTCAGATACAGCAGTATAAACCTTGACCAAAGGATAAGAGAGTTTAGGAGTAGTGCATAATATACTTTAAACAATAAAGCCACATACTCAGTTCAACTAACCAAGTTCTTGGGGTTCTACACGTTAATGGGCTATAACCCGGCGCCCATTAAGCAGGAACATTTGCTTTGTTATACTGCTTTCCTCACTGAGCACATCAGACCAGCATCAATCAAATTGTATCTAAACATTGTAAGGATATACCATCTGGATATACTAATCAACTTCAAAGCAATTGGCAGCTAGATACTTTAATTGCAGGGGCATCAAAGAAACTAGGGTTGCCCCCTACAAGGAAAGCTGCTATCACCCCCAGGCACTTACTGGATATTAGAGCAAAATAAATTATCTAATGACTATAATATTCCTAGTTATGTACTCCAATGTGTAACTAAAGAGAAGCCTGTCACACCCATCTTTGTAATAAGGTTTCAGAAAAGTTATACTACCATTTTTTAGTTTTGATGTAAAAAACCATAGATATATTTGGGGAAAAGAGATACTATAACTTACGTAGCTAAATATATCATGGTGTATTAATTGCCTAAACCAGACGACTTTACCATCACTGACATTTAAAGCAACCACTGAATTGCAATAGTGGTTGTCGCCGATTCTATTTGTTCCAAAATGGTCTGGATTGGGGGAACTTGTTGGCACGTAAACAAAACCTAACAGATTAAAAAAAACAATGATCACGAGATAGTTCCTTTGCATTTCAACTAGGACCAAGGAGGATTTACTCCCAGAATGCAACATCGATATTCTATCCCATTTATGTCGATGTCGTGATACAAAATTCGAGGTCAAACAGCTGCCATTTGAACAATTGAATCGTGAATGTTGGTCTTATTTCCCAACGCAAAATTTCAAAACTCATAAGAAATGATCAAGATATTGGTTTGAATCTTTTGATCTGTTTATTTTGAATTTATAGTCGGTTATAATTTAAGAAAATAACGACATTTCGATGCTTTCATTATGGTTGGAAAATATCAAATTTCAATCCTGAGTGCCAATCCTCATTGATTAGGACCAATAGTCAAAAACGTTACACTTTATGTTCACCCAACCAAGTAAACTCAGTAGCAAAAAGATTGTATTTTTCAATAAATTATTTTTTTCCAAAGTTATGCTAATTAAGAAGTTTTATATAAAAGTTAATTGTATGTGGGAATCATGGGACATACAGAAAAAAATCGATATAAGCATCTCACCGAGCTCGTTGTCCCCACTAATGGGAGCCCATGCATTGCCTGCCCCAACGTCGTCGGTGCCATCCCGATACGTGCCCATAGCTGGATCACTGGGATCCGTTGGAACAATCATGAAATTCCACATAAATTGTCCAGTCCGTGCATTGAAAGCGGGTATGCTCCCCTTAGGTGCATTGTCTCCACAGTCGTCGTCAGTTATAACTTTAATTACAAACGGGGTTGAAGTTGGAATGGATTTGCTCCGGGGTTTTAATATACCATTATTAAGAGGATAGTCTCAGGATTAAAAACTAATTCCATTGTCTTTTGATCGGTATGCAAAATAGATCAAATAACTTATAATTCAAGGATATTTTAAAGAGTTTTTCAAAAATAATTTTTATACGCTTTCTCAACCATTTACCAATGTTGACTACTAATAGTGCACATACTTTGTCCAAAAATCAACACGTCTCTCACAACTGCTGGAGGGTTTAGATACCACACACAATTCACATTTGGAGTTGCTACCCTCAGATCAGCAAAACCCTTAAACACAAAATGCAAGGCTATTCTGGCTAGAAACGATGCCAAATACCACCTATATATTGTGAATCAATCACTTACTAGGTATTTTGCACCGAAAAATAAGGAAAACGGATATTAAAGGCAGAATCTGTATAAGAGGTGATAAAATTACAAGCAGCTTGTATAAATGACCTACCAATATATTCCTTACAATATCAAATACAATATATCCTAAAAGATTCGCAATATGTTATGAATTGGTGAAGTTATTCATGATTCAAAGTGCAAAAATGGCAGAAATTCTTTCAAATAATAAGAATGGTAACTATTCTTACAGAAAAATTATACATAATGTAAAACTCTTAAGTTTTCCTTTAATAAAGATGCACTTTTGTGATTTTTAGAAAATAGACATGACAAGGAATGATTTGAGCCATGTTCTTATTTAAACGTATAGAACATAGTATAGTATCACTATCCAAACACTATAATGGTAACATTTCTTCAAAAACAGTCGTTTCTTGCACCAATGATATAAGGAGTGATTGTTCGATGTAACTACAAAATATATTGCATTAAAAAACATACCTCTACACCAAAATCACCGCAATTTTTTCCATTGGCAGCATCAACTGCTAACAGTCTGAGATCTAACGTAGGGATGTATATGCTACGTTTACACAATGCTCCACGTGGCTTAAGTGGATCCACCCATGTTGCAACACCTCGACATGTGTTTGCCCATTTCCCCATACTTAACATAAGATGTGACACTAATCATGACAAACGCCAGGACATCAAAAACAAATGTGCTCAGCAAAAACAAAACGAATGAATATCGTCGTCTTACTCGATCTTTTTTCTGACTATCACTAGATTAAGATATATTATAGCAATACTGTGATGAAAATGGATGATTATTATTTACCAGTATTTTTGTTTCACCAAAGCCGATTGTGTATCGAAACCGGAAGTGAAAAATATAATGAATATTTGCTGCAGAAATCCACACTTTGAGGCTGTAAGTTAAATGTTACTTCTATCAAACATTAATGCATGTTGATGTAACTTAAAATCGGAGTATAAGACAGTTATTTTGAGCTCGGTTTCATAGGAATCGAGTAAGTATTTGGGTAGATAAAGCAGGGTATATAATTCGTGTTTATTCTCATATAATTTCGGCGTACTAGGTTGCCTTCATGTTGTGTTTCCGGTGCGCCATATACGGAATTATGATGTTATTTTCAACCAATGATAATCAAGGAATTATTCAGCCCGTACAAATTTCTAATTTACTATAAAAGAAGAATGCACACGTGCATCGACCCCTTTTGCATTCGTTAGGAAGCAAATTTTACACCACGAGGGGGGACAAGATACTAACAGATTGGCTAGGGTATGTGATTGATGTTCACAATGGGATTTTCATAGCGAGCATTTGAGGTCTGTTAAATTACTGCATTTATCAGATTGTTATTTCATGAACTTGAAATCGCTGTTGTAATGGTATATTTGATAGTCTCATTTGTTTACCATAAAGTCTCCATTCAACTTTAACTAGCTCTAAAATAGCACAATTCGTGAATAATATAGCATAACTTTTGGACATTATTTTTGACGTACAATTTGAGCTGTTGACTTGTATTACTATGCTGTTTTGATATGTTCTAGGAACTACAGTAATTATATATCACCATAATGTGTTCCACACTGCTGTTGGTTTCATACCGGTCTTGGAGTCACAGAAAGGGGAACATCATTTTTGGAGCCAGAAAGGTCGTACATCAAATATAGGGTGTTGTGAATCATTTATCAGGAATCAACATAAAGAGTAACAATTTGAATAGGAGTTCTGAATCATTAATTGGGAGTCAGCATACAGAGTTGAACTCTGAATCGGAGTTCAGAATCATTCATTGAGAGTCAACATTAAAATTCATTATATTTGAATAAGGAGTTCTCTCTGATAGATTGGGAGGAGGAGGAATAGTTTCAGCTCATAAACCGGGAGGGGGAATAAGTGCCTCATATTTAGGAGTCACGTTTCCTGAAATAGTAGCCGTGAATCATAGTAGCCGAGAACAAAGAGTAGCCATTGGAGTTCATAATCAAGGGGAATGATCAGAATTCATTATTGGAGGCCTTTTGTCACATGCCTCTCATTCTATAAACTAATAAACATTCTATTATTGTTTGATTTAATTTCTGACTTTTATATTAATCATTTTATACTTTTAATAAAATTGTATCAATTGCTCTATGACATCCCAATGACTGCAGTAGAACCCATGGAAAGGTTATGCAGCCGATCCCTTTCGGAAGTGGATGGTCGTTCCTCAAAGTTTTAGCACAGCAAATCTTTATGGAAAGACATCCAAGCTTTCCATTCCAATATCTTCTGTCGAGGAAGAGTACAAAGCTACAAAGATGTGAGCCATAACTACACTCCTGATGCCAAAGGACAAGATGGTCAACACTGTATGTGAAGGCATGGCCTGTGGCAGAAAGTGGAAACCTCAAGAATCCATAAGAGAGGCAGAGGAGAGACTGCGATACAAAGACATAGTCGGGGTTGTGTACAAAGGCCTCTTGGGTCGAGGACACTACAGTCCTTTGGTAATGACCCCAAAGGATCAAAAAGGAGTCAGATTGTGCAGGAAGTAAGACGTTCAGTAGAAGAAGAAAGGCACGTCAAAGCATGCTAAACAAAATTAAGATGCACCAACTGGGACAAAAAAGTATACCCAACTTCAAATCCAAATCACTAGACTCTTAAGCAGTTTTTATAAAATACAAAGGTAGTAGTAAAAAAGCTAAAGCCTGACTTATTCTCCATCAAATGGCACCAAAAGCATTATGTAACTGAGCAATCTTGACCATTATGAGAGGTGTAAACACTCCCAAACCACAACCCAAGACAAGTATCTTGGCCAATGCAACAGACTGGCAGCTTCAGGTAGACCTCTACCAGAAACTAGTTTTTCCTCAGGATGTGGCTGTAACAACCTTGGTTCCAGACATGATTATGACTTCAATTTCGACTAAGACCATTCTCATCATCGAACTATCAGTCCCATGGGAAGACTGACTGGAGGTTTCACACGAGATCAAAGCAGCGAAATTTCGAGACCTGGCAGATGAAGCGAAGACAAGAGGCTGGGACGCATCCATCTTCCCAATCGAAGTTGGCTGCAGAGGGTTCCCAGCAACATCAGTCAGAACCCGATTGTTCAAGCTAGGACTACAACCCAAGGAACTTAAGAAGGCCATCTCCTCAATGGCAAAGGACAGTTCCAGATGGCTTTAATTCAGAAGAAAGGAAATGTGGAACCTAAAAGCCAAAAAGTCCACCTCAGTCCTACTATATAGAACTATGCTTATATATGTTGTCGACCACCAGACAACAAGGTGTTCCATATGCTTGAATATTGGTGGGGAGTATACAGCAGGAGGTGCTTACACGACCGTATCCGAAAAACGGTTATCTATTGAGAAAAGCTTACGCAATCGTATCCAAGAGAAACAATTACATAATTATTTGATAAATTATAATATTGCGCCATGAACACGCATAAGGATGATTACACAACTTAGTTATCATTAATCTTTGTGATATAAGCCCCAAAGCAAGTATTCTTGTTAACGAGAAAGTTAATTTCAATGAAAATTGGGCCGTGAGTGATAGAATATACCGTTCCCCAAAGATATACTATATTCTAGTATACAGTATAATCGACATACAATAAAACTTAACGATTCATTCTATGATGTGGGTGTTTCAATTTTAACCACATTTAACATGAAGTGAACCTTTATGTAATCAACTCACTTATGCACTGTTATCCCGTCATTATTTCTCCAAACCTCTGCACCAGTTATAGGATCTAATGCAACGATTGCTCGCCAAGGAGTGCAAAATATCAATAGATCGTTTCCTAAATTACAAAAATAGTACCCCGGACACGTTGGATGATGCAGTTTTGTTTTTGCAACAACCATTATTATTGAAATTCTGGAAACAATTCTCAACATGAAATTGAATTTTTGGCCGCCCAAAGTCTTCCAAGATGTCTTTGATGCCATATTAAGTATGACTGATTATTGTTATTCATTTTTGTCATATTCAGTGATATTATTACAGTGCATTAGGCCAATGAAAAACTTCTCACTCCGGATCACGTTTCTTCTGATAACGCACCTTTTGCGCCACTGGTTTTTTCCAACGCCATCACTCAGCATGCAACCATGTGGTATGTAAATTACCCCATGCTTCGAATATGTCAGGTTTCCCTGACAATTTCATGATAGAATTTGACACAGCTATATTAACATCTCTGAATGATCTAATGCCGAAAATACTTGAGGTTGGAGATTCGTAATGTTTTACTTCATTTTGGACAGTATTGAAAAGTTCGATCCGGTTGAACTCGTGTCCGTTGACAAGAAGATTGACCTCCATTATCTTGGCTTAATCTAGGGAACGCTTCACAAAAGGAGAACCAGAGCAACAAGTTTCTTATTGGTCTAATGCACTGTAACAATATTGAATATGACGGAAAATTTGAAATGACGTTATAAGTTCAATTGTACAAGCAAAAACCTGTATTTTATTGACAGTGAAGCGTTTTTGAAAAAAGCCTGTCAAAATCATAAAATTGGAAAATTTTGATAAAATGTTTATTTTCCATGTTGAAGATTGTCTCTACAATAAATCTTGAACATTTCAATAAGAATGGTTGTTCCATTGCAATATAGAGTAAAAACACGACTGCTTCATTCAACTTGTCCGGTGTACTATGAATAAGACATATGTCCTGATAAATACATTAATCTAATATGAGGAAGAACTAAGTAAGAGTAATAGTATCTCAAAAAACTCCTGTAGAGTAGTTTGTCTACTTGTAGATGAATACATAAACCTCTACACCAGGAAAATATTACAAAATTAATAAATCTCTCAAATAAGTGCCTGAACTACTATTTTCGATTCGTTTCGTGCATTTTGGCTTAGAATGCGACTACGATATGTACATGCTGTAGAAATATCACAAAAATAATTGGGAGGTGGTAAGTGATGTATCCTTGGAGGTTTGTCTAGTGGTGTAGTACCATGAGCAAATAATTCATCAGTATGGGTACGGGGAAGGGAGTGAGTTACACAGTTATTAGGTACTACATTTGTTTTCGCATAATTTGTATACCGTATATCGACCCGTCTTCTACCATAATCGGCGCTGTTTGTTCTTTAAGGGCTTTATCAGCTTTATGCCCCCAAGGACTCGGTCCATATCGGAATGTCCAAGCTATCGTTAGGTCTTTGACATTGTTAACATTTATTTCATCTAATGGAGAGTAACGTGTTCCACCCACAGTGTTACCGTAATGCTCCCAATACTCTAGCAAAACGTATGAAAGTTTTAGATAAGAAACAATAAATGTCTTGGTGCGTACAAACGACAATAAATTGCTCTCAAATCCTTTAAGTTTACATTTTATCTGAAAGTGTTTTTGTAAACATTCTAATCAAAACGCCCGAGAGGAATTGAAGAGAGCAACATGCTGATGCTACATACCGCTTACGTGAATGCAATCGTTCCACTTGAAGAAACCCTTTTGTTGTAAGATTAACTTGCCTTTGTTGTCTACCAATATATGAATGTATGCATCTGGTCTTTCTTTAGTAGACTTGACCTTGACCTTTTCAAAAGTATTACTTCAAGATATAACAATAGGTGTTATTTTAATATATAACC